AAGACCTTGATGGGAAAGACGTAAGAGTCGTTGACCCTGGTTCCCATCACATGATAATATTGCGAATGCCTAATCTCGGATAATTTCGTGTGTTCGTTAACGTGATATGTTTGAGCGGCTTTGAAAACTGAGTGAATATTAGATATTCAGTTTGATCGAATTGAAGATACTCACACACGCTAATTCATGTAGCATTTAAAATAATAATCAATAGATTTTTAAGAGTAATGCGAATCGAAGTCAGTCGCATTGCTTCCTTTAGTCTCTGAGGAACGTATGTACGTTAAGCGTAAATACGTCGGTTGTCCTGTCTGCTTCGTTTCGGTGTAGGCTGTGGGAAACAGCAACGATATTACACAGTATAACATTATGCATGCAGAGTAAATAGAGCTTAACATTTTTCACTGCATCGTGAAAATGTCGCATATAAATGAGCATACGGTATTTTGCTTTCTTTTAACCCTTTTAGACCTGAATTAAGGCCGCTATTGGAATAATATCCTTTTTTTGCATTTTTGAGCTCTTTTGTGACTGTAATTGAAATTTTCATACTTTATATGTAGTTTTCATATTTTATATAAATTTACCATATCATACCATAAATTATATATTATACACTTAATTAAATAACTGAATATTATAAAACTAATGGGTGGAAGAAGGCATCTGATGGAACTGAGCCATGCATAATTGCACCCATTGTAGCGTAATATGGAGCGCAAAGTCACGAGAATCCTAAGAAATTTCCATAGACACAATGTAAATGCAATGTAAATGCAATGTCCATTGGAATGGACGCCAGGTCTGAAAGGGCTAAATGGAACGTCATGCTAATCGGGACGCTATGTATTTCACCCGAATATTCCCAACCCTCAGAATCAATTTCAAAATCTATATTCATTCCTAGTTGTTAAATGAATGGGAGAGGGCGTACCAGGGATTGGGGAGTCAACGTGGGTTGTTTTCCTACCTGGTTCACCTGAAATTCCCGACTCGGCCTCGCATCTCTCTGGTGAAACGAGGACGGAAACTCCTCGCCCGATTCGCTGTCACCATGATCTTAACATCACAGTTGCCTTTCTGCGAAACGAAACCGACGGGATTGATGGGGATCCAGTTGCTCCTCTTCAGCGATCTCCTCCTCTTCGTCCATGACTCCAAGTGAGTCAGTCGGTCCATCTCCGACGTTCTGTTCCCTTCAACCTGGGATCATACGTCGAAGAGAATCAAGGGTCTCAGGGAGTGTATGTGTCATTCTCTGTCTCACATATTGCTTGAATTGCTTAGGTTCGACCCCTCACACTGAATAGTAGAGTGCAAGAGCGTAGAGGCGTGGCGACCCCTATCCAGTGGATGGAGAAGGAAAACGGGTCCAAATTCGGCATATCTAATGTTAGGTGTGAACTAAGACAATACGCCCTATTACGTCGTCGTCCTTTCCTTCATACAAGCAAGTATTATTCGTAATTCACCTCTGTCGACGATTTTTAACATTCAGTTTTAGTAGCAGCTTTTTTCAATTTAGATCGTTGCCGATTAGGCTTTTTCCGTTGCTTATTTGGCATTCTCCTGAAGGAAAAGGTGTGACGTACCTCACCGATCCATTAAATAAGATCGCAGGAAGTGCCTAAACTTCCAAGTACAATCCAGTCCACTGTGAAAATGATTGATTATAGTCGCAAGCTATGACTGGCGCCTGTGGTAGCTACTTGCACGTGGAAACAATGAAGAATATAGACCCTTCCCCTCCTTTCACATTTTAGGGATACATTTTTACACGATAACCGGGGAGAAGTTCATATCTCTATTGCGGAGATCTTATACGCTCTGTTTTTGGCACCATCACCGTCGCGAAGGCATTTGACATGCGAGCCAGGTCAAGCATTCGTCAATTCTTTCCCGGGCAATTTTCCATCGCTGAGATTAATCTCAGTTGCGATGGAAAGACGCAAGCTCGAATAAGGTTGCCGACGTGCAGTACATCCTTCACCATCAAGCGCTTGGTATGGAGATGTCGCTAATGATTTATATATGAGCACCAGGTCTTCAGGAACGTACTGAAGGTATATAATATGGAGGATATACAGGGTGGCGCAAAAGTCTCCATCCATTTTTGACTAGTTACACTTTCCTCACGTAATTCTTAACAACAAAACATAAACTGGTCATACCCGCTGACTTGGCGGATGACGTTTGTTACGATTTGACTCGATAAGTTGTTGTGGTCACTGAAACAGATGAGGATTGGATGGCAAAATAAGCACAAGTGATGACGCAAACAAATGCCAAAAAATGTATGGAGAATTTTCCGCCACCCTGTACAGTACGTTGTACTCGTATACTGTATGCAAGTGCCATCTCCTTGCAAAATATTTTAAGAATGTTATATACCTACATATTTCATGTTATTATTTATTATAGTTTTTCAGGCGCAATTTGACGGTAATGTACGCATAGAACTTTAATATTTTATTTTACATCTCCCGCTGTCATTATAATGTTGACTTCATTCCATAGATGCACATGTAGGAAACCAATAAGCTGCGTGCAACTACCAAGTTCCCATCTGATTTCCCATCGCTTGAATTCGGTTTTGGCTCTAGATTCTCATGCTAGCTGAGAACGATCATAAAATGTGGTTCATGATACATCGATTTTACGAAGAAGTACCGCCAGTGAGGCAGAGCCATCTCTAGGTGATGCATGCTGTAGGATGGAGGCGAGGAGCGTGTTGGAGTATGCAGAGCGAGACATGGTGGTAGTGCGGAGAGAGAAAAACCTCTGCTTCACCTCTCCGCACTTTCCCACCGTATCGTTCACCAGCGTCGCCCGCATCTTCCTCATCCAGTCTACTATCATCCGATCCTACGTATGGATTGCCTATGCAGCTGAAGAAACAAAGATAATTACCAAAAAAAAAGCAAGAATGATCCCACGCTTTTTCGTGTTCTCTCATGAACAGATGATAGATTTCATGAACGAGAAGCAACTGGAGAGGTTCTCGGGCCTGGTGACTCCCGGGTCCCGCCGTACACTAGCCGGGATTAGCATTTTCAGCCCTGAGGAATATCCTTTGGCGAGGGCTAAGGGGAATGTCCTTGGCATTCATCCCTTCTCTCCCTTTATAACCTGTCGAGAGGGAGACGTTCTCCAAGTACTTCGCCTCTTCCCCGATGGTCCGTCTCAGCAGTAAACACACACACACAAAAAAAAACATTTATATGAAAATAACATATTACAGATCTCTCTCCAGAAATCCTGAGATTAATCTGTTAAAATGAGGAATGATCGATCATTTGATTGACAGGGAGGTGCTGCGTGAGAAACGAGAGGAGTGGGTCAGTGGGGTTCATGATGAGGGGGATGATAGAGCTGGCGGATCCCGAGAATCACCTCGTTGAGGCCTTTCCATCATTCCACGATTCGTCTTCTCTTTCCAGCTACTTCCTCGGCAGGGAAGAGAAATCCGTCCATTCCTAAGAATGGAAGTGAGGGATTAAAATTCCAGACTCAATGTCATTTGTCTCGTGTTTGATTCACATTGATTCGTTCACAGGGTCGGTCAGAGTTTGAAGTTTCAGGAAACCACACTTTAGCATCATTCGAATGGGAGACGTTTTCGTTTATTTGGAGTTCAAGTTTGTGAATCTTTTCAAATGGCAGGTTCAGTTCAGAAGTCATGGTTGAAGGAAGAAGTCTGGTTCACAGTTGAATCGAATTCAATTAGGGTTTCGCTGCCTCACGGTTTCAGGTCCTACCTTCCATCTCCATCTTCATCTGCACTATTTCGACTCATTGCAAGAATTTTGATGAGTCGAAGCTTTGAATATGATTTTCCGAGCGTATTCTCTCGCTTGAAAGCATTCCTTGCAATCACAAAGGGATCGATAACCATGCGATGGTTTTGCCTTTGACCGGACAGCGCCTGCTTGTTCTCGCTTTGAGAATCCAAGTTGGCGGAAAATTATCGCATTGTGAGGGACTGTATTGAAAGATTTCGCAGAGAAGCACCCTTTTGACGATACTGAGACAGGGCACTCGCCGTGCAGCGGCTGTTGTTCATGTTTTCAGCCAACATTTCAGGTCAGCTGTGGTGTGCTGGCACCGTTGCACAGTGGGCCAGACTCATTAAATACCTGGAAAAAGTCCAATTTGCAAAGTGTAACCAGGGTTATGGTTTTGCATTTATCTTTTTCCAAATTGACACTTGTCTCGACAGAATGAAGGTCTTTCTTCATGGCTCTCGCTTGGTTGCCATAGACCTCGAAAGTTGAACTTCATGCTAAAACCCAGTTTTTAGATTTTCCAAGTGCGACCATATAATTTCCCGATTTCCATTGCATATTACTTGGAGCGCCATATGGCATATGCAGCAAATGAAAGTATGTGTTTAAGTATCAGTATCAAATTAAAGCTTGATGCAGCCCCCTTAACTTCCATGGCGCTGTTGATTTCCTTCAGCTGACCTAAAGAATTAATGTGATATCTGGTTTATGATGTATCTTATCATGTATCTCCATGACAGAACCATATTCAATTCATAACACAGTGTCTGGATTATCAGTTTAAAAATAATTAACTGCCCATTCGTGCTCGTTTTCAGGCTAGAGTTCTTTGATTCCAATCAATTTTTTCAATTTTGCGTAGAGGACAATGGCGGGGGAAAGGTAATGGCAGTCTGCTGGAATTCTACATCGATCAAATTTTCCAACTTTTCCCGGAATCTGGCCCACAGTAAGTTGCTTGCGACTTTTAAATTATACGTGCTACATGTAGAAGTTCCGTGAGGAAAAGCTGATCTGATTCCACGGGTGTTCACATTTGCAATCCTTGTATTTTTTCCATTCCACCATTTTCCCGTGCTTTCAGTTAAAAAAATCTCATAGGAGAGTGACTTTTGGGAAACATTATGACAAGTTTATAACTGGAGATTTTCTGCCAATGGGTGAAATTTCTTATTAGGAAAAAGATCCTCCATGTTGTCGCTCGTGACATCGTAATCAAGCTCTTTCAACTTCTGAATCCAATGCAGTCATGTTGGCGAAGATGAATTCTCCATATGTTTTGTGCACCAGCTGATATCCCTTCGAAAGGAGGAAATCCTTCAGACTTTGCTTCCCTTCGTCGTTAAAAAGGAACTCCACCTCGATAACGTGAAACTGAATGCGCTGAAAGGGCAATGTCTTGAGAACTTGCAATTCCAGCCCTTCCACGTCCAAGCTGAAAAAGTGGACAGTTGTGATGCCCAGAGCATCCAAGAGCGTGTGAAGGGGATAACACTTGACCAGAGCGGAGTAGATTGAAGTGCCATTTTTTATGGAACCTTTGATTTTTCCTTTCTTACTGATCCCGCCTCCCCAGGAGGCGATCGGATCCTTCGGGTCGTACGGATACTCCATCACCTCCTAAATCGAAGGACCGAGTCTCATTATCCTGCCAAAGACATGGGAGATGTTTCCGTTTGAACTCACGTATTTGACCCTGGCTTCTGGCGAAAGACAAAAGGGAGCGAGCCAAGCATTTCTCTTGAGGTACATCATCTTCTGGAAGAGGTGAGGATTCGGTTCCACCAAGAGTCCCTTCCATCCGTATTTCTCTTCCAAGTAGAGGGTCTTCGATATTGACTTTCCGTCCAGGGCACCGGCCTCCACGAAAAACCTCTCGATTCGATTCTGTGTCGAAAAAGCACAGGCTTCTTCAATTCTGATCAATGACGCATCCTCGTATCTCACCGACTCAACGATGTGTTAGCTTGATTTTCTCAGCATTTTCCAACTCCAAATATAACTCGGACGTTGTACCATGCTACTTTACAAAACCAACTTGATTCTCACTCCATGTGCTGGAAAGGGAAAACCTCTTTCGTGGACGTGATGAGGTATTCGTATCCAGACAGTGGAGGAAGGGAGGGCAATAAGAAATCAGACAGTAGAGATAAAATCCCTTTCCCAACCTCAGGCTGGAAAGAACGACTTTATTCAGGATGGCCACTCTTCTCTGACATGTCTGTGACTAAATATAATAACGAGTTTTCGGTCTAGCCTTCATAAAAGAGCATTCTTTAAGAAGTAAATACTGCCTCCAAGACCAGCTCATCGGATGGAGAAGGGACACAAAGCAAAACTTCCTCATAACTACCAGAGCGCTAGGAAATTTTGGTTTGCATGTGGACAGGGTCCAATAGTGATAATTGGATCTCCGTTCCATCTATTGGAAAGAGATATTGGCGTCTCTTCCAATACAACGGCAAACATGAACTTAAGAACCAGTAATAACTTATGAAGTGATTGATATACTGATAAGAGGGTTTCTGCTTCAAATTTCACCCTGACGTTTCTTTGGTGTTCGGCCCTGTCGACGAGACTCATCGATACTCATCGAGGAGGGAACATGACTCGATTATTACGATTTCTCCCACACGTGGACTTAAACATTCGAAGATGCTGCATTGAGGTCTTACTCTAGAAATCTTTGGAAACTTTCTCTTTGAAATGGGTGTCGTGATTGGACCAGAAAAACGAAACTGTCTTCCTCGTGGAAAACTGTATGGTTCACCGAAGATTGATCCTTCTATACCCGTTCATTGATTTAACATTCTCTCTATTCAAATCAGAGGTCAAGAGATAGCATAGGTTCGCTATCAGCTCCGACTGTTTAAAGCCACCGTGCTGCCGCTCGAGGTGTGTTTTAGGGACAATGTCGCAGAAACATTCCCGAACGAATTGTGCAAGACGCTAAAGAGGGGGTTTACACTGCTGATCTATGCCGCAGAGCATACTCAACCGTTTACATGAACAGACCATTGAATACAGGAGTCATTTCCGGATAAAGTTGTTCTTACCGTGTCGAGGAAGGAAAAGGGATCTCGCCTTCACTGTCTGGTTTCTTTGTGTTTCTCCCTCCCTTCCTCCTCTGTCTAGACGTGGATTACCCTCTGCTCATCACATCCATGGAGGCTCTCCCTTTCTAGCACATGAAGTCAGAATCAAGTTGGTTTGGTTTACTCTGCAGAGTACAGAGACCCCCAACGTAGAAACCCTGTGTAGAGTTTCGTACGCTCTATTTCAACGCTTTTTTTCAGTTCAATGAATGTTGTGTATACAGGGTGTTCGCATTCAAATGCAACGTGGAGAATATCCAGCCAGCCGCCCGTGGCGCTAGGCGTATGACTCAATGTTCACGCGGCTGCATAGCTTTAAGGATTCGCAGAATTATGCCATAAAGGAAGCCCATAAGCAAGCCCCAAGCAGTTGCCTCAGGGGAATAGAATGACCTCGATCAAGTTCCCCGGCCGGGCAGCCGTATGTTCCCAATACTGCGTTCAACCCATCCGCATCATCCTCGGTTCAGTTGAGTTCGTTCATTTTCAAGAGCACGCAGCTTCCCTTTCCGTCTCACATCATCGTGTAGCTGCGAGCACAGGAGCGTCTGAGAATGTTTCGACTGGCAGAAAAAAACTAAACATTTGATTGAACTAATGTTGGTGTAATTCGTGGTTACGCTGTCAATAAACAATCATTTATCACTCACCTCTTAGTTCTCATAATACTTATTGGTGTGACAAGCCCAAGAAGTGTTCAGCAAAAAGTGGGACTTTGAAACTGCGGGACTGCCATGTTACCTCTTTCCTGACATGATGCCCAGCGCACACAACAAAGCACCTTGTAGTTTTTCGTCCTTTAGTTGATTGAACTTGTCAGCTAGACAAGAGGATGCTGTTCACTAAGTACAGGTTTTTCCCTCTTCAGCCTAGCTCGAGCAGTTGCTGAAATATGGTCGCTCAAAGGACACTGCGCACCAGTCCAGTACATCTATTGATGCGCATCGGTGTATATGCGAACAAATTGTGTTAGTCCGTTAAAATGCTTTTGAAGCTCGATTTTCACATTCAGAATTCCAGTCCAGCATTGAGTTATCGAGCTATCGAAATGAGTGATTGACGCATACCAATAATGAGCAGTAACCAGAAATGCGTTTTTCTAGACCACAACCGGTCCTGGAAAGTAAGGGCCCCGGACCCTCTTCCCCAATGCAGACCACTGCCTTCGCCCGACAACCCTCCCTTCCTCCCCTCCATCCTTCCCCGTCTACGTGCCTCCATTAGAATCCCTCCCCATTAGAAAATCCTAGACGCGTCACTGTCAGCTCAAATTATCGACGGAAATGACGTTGACTATTTCCGAGCCGATAAAATGTTTCCTTTCGAGTCTAGAGCAAATGTCAGTTTTCAGACGATAATGACTGACAACCTGAGTGGAGAAAAGAGGAGCGACGATCTTTCTCGTTATCTGTTGCTCGCTTGGATCTTTGCTCGTGGATCGGGGGCGCTGCATTCTTGTAGGTAGAGGTCCAATCATGCCCAAGGTGCCCCTTTCGTGTTGGCATTGGCATGGGGAATGTGAACGAAAGTTCACTGCTAGGAAGAGAAGGGACAAGACGATCACTGTTGGGGCAACATATAACAGTTTGAAAAGAATATCCAGCCAGCCGCCCGTGGCGCTAGGCGTATGACTCAATGTTCACGCGGCTGCATAGCTTTAAGGATTCGCAGAATTATGCCATAAAGGAAGCCCATAAGCAAGCCCCAAGCAGTTGCCTCGGGGGAATAGAATGACCTCGATCAAGTTCCCCGGCCGGGCAGCCGTATGTTCCCAATACTGCGTTCAACCCATCCGCATCATCCTCGGTTCAGTTGAGTTCATTCATTTTCAGGAGCACGCAGCTTCCCTCTCCGTCTCACATCATCGTGTAGCTGCGAGCACAGGAGCGTCTGAGAATGTTTCGACTGGCAGAAAAAAAAAACTAAACATTTGATTGAACTAATGTTGGTGTAATTCGTGGTTACGCTGTCAATGAACAATCATTTATCACTCATCTCTTAGTTCTCATAATACTTATTGGTGTGATAAGCCCGAGAAGTGTTCAACAAAAAGTGGGACTTTGAAACTGCGGAACTGCCAAGTTACCTCTTTCCTGACACGATGTCCAGCGCACACAACAAAGCACCTTGTAGTTTTTCGCCCTTTAGTTGATTGGACTTGTCAGCTAGACAAGAGGATGCTGTTCACTAAGTACAGGTTTTTCCCTCTTCAGCCTAGCTCGAGCAGTTGCTGACATATGGTCGCTCAAAGGACACTGCGCACCAGTCCAGTACATCTATTGATGCGCATCGGTTTATATGCGAACAAATTGTGTTAGTCCGTTAAAATGCTTTTGAAGCTCGATTTTCACATTCAGAATTCCAGTCCAGCCTTGAGTTATCGAGCTATCGAAATTAGTGATTGACGCATACCAATGAGCAGTAACCATAAATGCGTTTTTCTAGACCACAACCGGTCCTGGAAAGTAAGGGCCCCGGGCCCCCCTCTTCCCCAATGCAGACCACTGCCTTCGCCCGGCAACCCTCCCTTCCTCACCTCCATCCTTCCCCGTCTACGTTACTGCCCCCATTAGAAAATCCTAGACCCGTCACTGTCGGCGCAAATTATCGACGGAAATGACGTTGACTATTTCCGAGCCGATAAAATGTTTCCTTTCGAGTCTAGAGCAAATGTCAGTTTTCAGACGATAATGACTGACAACCTGAGTGGAGAAAAGAGGAGCGATGATCTTTCTCGTTATCTGTTGCTCGCTTGGATCCTTGCTCGTGGATCGGGGGCGCTGCATTCTTGTAGGTGCTCCAGGTTAGTACGGGTTCCACGGGGAAAGCACAACCGTAACCGTACCCCTTACACTTGCTTTCAAGTGACGATCCTTCTCTTCCCTGTTCTGCTAGTGACAACCCCGTTGTATATTGTCAAACTTGGAGCAGCTGGGTGAATGCTGGATTGCACGCATGATGCAGATGGACGAAACACCTTGGAGGACTTCAGACTGGGTGCCACAAGGGTGGACAAAGAACAGGGCTTGGGTCAAAGGTTCACAAAACGAGAGTCACTGATTCTCTTTCTCACGATCAGACTACCGGACTGCCTCGTGCAACACTCCCAGAATAAGCAGTGACGCTGAAACAGGTAGCGCCTGGGTTTTCGGGCTGAGACCCGCATTCACACTTTTTCAGTCCACCAGTTGACACCTGTTTTACTGCTCAGAGTATTTCATGGATATACTAAAATACCGGGATATCCGTTACAGCATGCCATATCCGCTGCCGAGCCCGAACCACGTCATGCACCCTTTAGCCAGGAGGCGGGGCGCGTGTTGAATGTGTGAAGTGTGACTTTTTTCTAAGCGCCTGAAAGCAGGTGAAATGAGAAAATCTAGCTCATGAATGTATATATCGTCTTTTTCGAAATCTGACGAAACAGTAACACGATTTAGAAAGGAGTAACTAAACAAACACCGAAATCAGTTAGGTAAGAAAAAACAAACGATTTGTATGGTAAATTTCATATAACCTTTATTGGGCCACCGTGGTCTGACAGAAGCTGGTTTAGATCTTCTCGGGTTCCCACCTGTGCGCAGGGGGCAGTTACAACTCCTAGATGAGATTTCCGCAGCTATTGGGATCACAATTCGACCAAACCTGCTCATTGTTAGAGCTAGGTCTTACATGGATTAGATTAAGGAGATGGAGCCTCAGCAATTAAATAAGACTTGCAGAGATGACAAACCTGTAGAGTTGGGATACCGAGTTTATGCAATACTGGAATATTGGGTAGCATGATTGGCAGGTCACTAAAAGGTTTCAAGAACTTATTTTGCGGCCCGGNGCAATTAAATAAGACTTGCAGAGATGACAAACCTGTAGAGTTGGGATACCGAGTTTATGCAATACTGGAATATTGGGTAGCATGATTGGCAGGTCACTAAAAGGTTTCAAGAACTTATTTTGCGGCCTGGAGAAAAATTCAAAATGAGGCAATAGTGAGTATAGAGTTCTTGAATGAATAACTGATGGAGAATCCCAAGACATGGGTAGGAGTAAAGGGGTGCAATCTGGAGCGCTGAAATAGCTTAATATTACGCTCGATTGCGATTGGATTGTAACATGGATTTCGAATCAGATATAACCATGCGGTCTTCAATGGCGGCGTGCTTCAGTCACATGGATGCTAAAGCCACAAGTTTTGGCAAGGAAGAGTTCTCTCCCAAGCTCTTGTCCTGAAAATCCTGCTCCCTGTTGTATGCGGACCTCAAGGCCAAAAGCGATGAAGGGGCGTAAAAGAGAACAGTGACGTATCACTCGGGATACTCGACCCGACGAGTCCGGATCCGTCCTGTTTACTGGCCCCTTTGCTCAAACTTCCGCAGCTATTATTACGAGAAAGTGGGATTTCGCGGAGTGGAAGAGAAGAAGTCTCTGGAGATATTGCTCAAGGAAGATCCTCTAGACTTAATAAAATTGAAGCATTTCTGTGCGAGATTCCCAGTCCTCGAACAATATCGTATCTCCATGTGGAAGGTTCTGCTTGGTAAGCAAGCCATGCCTATGACAAATAGCTTGGTCCTCTTGGCCTAACATTGACCAGTATGCAGTGAAATATTCATGCATATTTGGATCGTATGTTGTGCTTACTCTCCACCCCTTCTTTCATCAAGGTATGGGGGATTGAGAATGGGTTACAATGTTTTTCACTTGAGTCAGACATTTCTTCACTGATTTTGACACTCATGCCTAAGTGTCTGATTTGAGTGAGAAATTGTCTGACTCAAGTGAAAAACAGTAGAAGAAATTTCGATCATCATTGGGTTTATATGCAGAATCAATCAAATATCTAGGCCTAGTTATTTTAAAATAGTGTAGCCTGTGTGGTAAAGTTTCAGTCATGCTTTGACATTTGCAGGGGTAGTGCCACCATACCAATCATGTCGAGAATTTGTGATGCAACAGCGCCAGGAGCAGTACCAGGATTTGATTAGACTTGTCACAAATGTGTTGAAGTGGAGCCCATCAGAAGCACCTCTCCATCGAACCTTTGTGCTGATGTGGCTCGTGGAGACAAGACGACTTTGTTTTGATCGGCATCGACAGGTATAGAAAACTGTGATCTGTACTAGAGGAACATGGTGATTAAGTCTTCACAAAGTACTCTTTCTTCATGTTTTAGTTTGAGGATACTGAAGTGCAGTCCATGGAAACATTGGCAGGAACTCTGCTTGACATGTTTGATGACTCTCCTATCATCTGCTATTGGATGGCGAAGAACCTAAAGAGTCTCAGCAGTGAATTGGAACCAAAATATCCTATCTTCATTGATCTTTTTTGGACCACATTGGAGAAAGAGAATGCTAGATTGCAACAGTATGTTTGTATTTATCTAGGACAACTTCAAGCTGTGATTTTAAGTTATGAGTATTGTTTACATCAATTTTATCAATTCTACATCCCACTCTGAAGAATATTCTGCATATTCTCAGGACTTTGTTACATGTCCCATGAAAAGAGAATAAGTTTTGAGTGAAACCGTTATGAATAGAAAAGGTGCACAGTTGAAGGCATGTATAGTTATGGAGTGCCTGCAGAGTTGATGGAAGCAAGGGTTTGTATTCTTTTAGACACCTGGTGAAGATTGGATACTCCAAAGTTATTCCACTTGAGATTTGGTTTCGGGATTTCTTTGCAGGCATTCTCCATCAATCAGCTCTTCAGAGGTGAGACACCCCTTCCATGGGCATCATGTGTCCGTTTTCTGCATTCACTTAGTAATTTTACTTTCTTTATCACATTACCAGAGTATGGGATAAGGTGCTTGGTGGCTCACCCAAAGTACTGGTTTTCGTGGCCCTTGCTTTGCTTTTGACTCTTCGAATGACACTTATAACAAGAAAGTTATGCCATGAGATTGAGGCTTCCATTGCAACAGCTATAACTTCCACACTCCGAGTGAGTTATGAGTAAATGTCCAAGCTGATATCATTTATCTGATGGAAAATGACTAGATTTAGCCTGAACAGTCACAATCTAGTGTGTCCTTATTTATTTCATTCACAGGTCTCTGAGGACAGTGCATCACAAGTTGTCCTAAATGCATTTGATCTGGGACAGAAGCATGGATACTTGATGACCTCATGAAAGCTAAAGCAACTCCAAATAAGCTGCTTTGGCTTTTGCTGGGAAGTTCCAAAACAATGCATAATTTCCTCCATAAAAATTTGCACAGAGGTAAAAAAGTATTTTTACTACTGGTTCAAACACCTGGATTACTTGCTGCATGAACTGCATATAGTGAAGTATACCATGAATGTGATCAAGGGTTGGATTTATGCAAAGGATGTTCAAAAACTAACAGGATTAAACCTGATTAGTAACAGGATAAACCAGATTTGAAGCTCTAGAATAACAGTACCATCAACTTTCTTTGTACAATTAGACAAATTTGAAACCTCTAATCATAATTGGGCAAAGCACTTCAGAAATGTTCTAATGAAGAAACTTCTTATGAAGTTACCTTATGAAGTTTGTGAAATGAATTATGAAATGTTTCTTATGAAGTAACCTATTCACTATATAAAAATATATAGTGAATAGGTAACTGAAGAGTTATTGATGACGTTTGAGTTTTTTCAACAAGAAGTCCATACTTTAGACTTCATTAAATTTTTTTAAAATGAGAATAAATACTTATTTTCACATCACAAGATTTCATTTTGTAAGAAAATTCCAGGGATGCATTGCTTGTAATTCATTATTCCCTTCTTTGATTCTAGTTGTTTCAACAGTCAACCTGTTTATCGACCTATCAGATCCAAGAGGTGAAAGTTTTTGGATAGCCACCAGCTGTCTCCCCATCATCCTCACCCCAGTTTCACTCCTCTGGATTATCTCACCCCTTTGGGTTGTCTTAATGCATGACATTGCAGAGAAAGGAACATGGTCCTCAGGGCAGAGAGAAGCTCATGTTGCAAAAAGATGGGAGGGTCAGTGATGCAGTCAAGGGAGATTCAGGCAATCTCATCCTCTTAAAGACCCATTTATATCATTTGACAATTAGGAAATAATGCAAAACATGCAGCAAGTATTTCTTACGGCAGCTATTGCTTTAGCTTTGTCGTCTCCCAACTGTTCACCATAGAGTGCCATGGCATCCTGAGAATTCAATCATGTACAAGGTTAAGGGGTGGGCAATGGAATATTCCATGACAAATAATTCCAGATGGAAAAACCCTGACATAATATCCCAACAACAAAAAAATTCAATTTAAAACATCTGAACAACTTATGAGAACATGACTTTTAATTCCAGGACAGTTGAAAGTTTGCTTAAACGTTGATGAACTTTTCCTCCCATGTGTATCATTTCTCAATGTCAGGCTTCAATCAAAAGCAATGAAAAATTATGTCACAGGAGAATAAAAAAGGGGATGTTAAATGTCGAAGATTCATGGAGAAGGGTCAGGGATTGAGGTCATGAGATCATTAATGAGATTCATACGAGTTCACCAAGGTTGAGTGCGATGCCTGGAAGATCTTCAATCGGTCGATTATGGTAGCCGGACTCATTATTCTAGGTTCTCATTCTCATTATTCTAGGTCAATCTACGTTGACTTCATTTTCATATGAACTTTGGCTGGGTCAGAAGCATGATAACGCTCACCAATCTTTAACATTTGACCATTGGTCACTTCGGACATGGACATTGTAACGAATTACATCAGACTCCCAAGCTGTTTCTCTTGAAGAATTCTTTCTGGGGAAAGTGGAGTGAAATTTGTAGGTAAAGGTGAAAGGAGTCCATGATCAATTTATCTCTTCCCTTCTGAAATGGAACATACTCCATTCCACACGGACACACTGACTGAAGAAGTAACTGCTTGAAATGAGACAGAGTTGCACCAGACAAATAAGAAACCAGCCAGTTACGAAGGGCATTTTATCGTGGAATAATCTGTCTAGGGAAGTATTAGCGTGGGATATTTTGTGAGTTTGAAGGAAAGTCTGGTGTCAAGAGTCGGGAATTTTTTATCGCTGGGTTATTCTGTCAGTTACCGCTTATTAAGTTAGTTGGACTATTGAAACGTCTGTAATTCGGAAACTATACACCAGAGGCCTGCCAAAATTGGTAGATGTGTTAATGCGACTTTGGGGACGATGATTCCAGGGTATACAGATATAGCATCCTAGAGGCACTGTTACGCCTAATTTGCATATGGATAGTGTGTAAAAACAGGGAAAAAACTAGTCAGCATTCTTTCTGCCTTTAGGAGTAGCTAGTAAGAGGTCATCTGAACGGAAGGACTGCTCTCGTCAAGCATTACTACAGCAATGGTAACAACACTGGTGCAGCATTAAAATCATGTCGGCATGAAAGCGGGAACAAACTGCGTTAAGAACCCTGTATATGTGGAACTCAATTTAATTGAGCTCCACACTGAGCTCATCCTAGTTTTCTGAGGAAATGAGAAGCAATCACAACGAAAACTCTGTGCAGCCATTCCAGTTCTTCGAAGAACATGAATTCGTGTCAATTTTTGTTGTGTTTTGCAGACAGTAACACACCCATATAGCACAAGTAGTCAACTCTCATTTTACCGCCATTCGATATAACGCCGCCCTTGCATATCGCCAACCTTTTCTTGTGGGCGTATATCCCCATAGGACCATAGACTTATATAAAATACGGGATATAGATAATTCGATATAGCACCAAAATCGGTGACGACCAATAGTGGCATTATATCGAGGGTTGACTATATCTTGAAGATGTCTTAATTTTGTCTCATGAAGAGATAAAGCCTCTTCAAAGCATCTTCACCAAATGTCACGAATACCCGCACATGTATCCTTCCAGAGATGTCTCCTTTTTTTATGCTGAAAACAAAACACGGAACAGAGGTATCACATTCATATTAACCCTTTCAGTCACGAAGCATTTTCTGCCCGTTTTTCATTTATTTTTATTTTTTACGAAAGCATTCGTAATCTCACTCGATACACAACGCAATCTCTAATTTCACCATTTTCATGACTGAATAATGGGTTACTATGCCATTGCAAGTGATTGGTGGGTTACTATGCCATATGAGGGCCATTCGACCGTCCCCCGACGGATATACGGTGATACGTACCTTGCTATGGTGGGAGACTTCGTGGTGCCGGAACTTGTGATGTTGGAAGTCAATCCACAAGAATTGTGGTTCCAGCAAGATGGTACTCCCCCCACATTACGCGACTATTGTTCGCCAGTGGCTATACAAATATTTATCCATGAGATCGGCCGTCTGGGGATGGTCGAATGGCCCGCAAGATCACCGGACCTAACAACCCTCGATTTCTTCCTTTGGAGTATGTCAAGTCGCGGATATTCGACAGTAAATCGGCTAATCAGCAGGAGCTACGGCAACGTATCATTGATTGCTGTACGGCAGTGCTGAAAAACGTTAGGCAGGAGTGACTACGCCAGTTGGAACTGTGCAGCATATGAAATGGCCAGGGCCGCCCAGAGGTTTCCAGGGGCCCGGGGCAAAACTAAACCGGAGGCCCCTTAGTTCGCGAGGCCCGGGGCATACTGTCCCTGATGCCCCCTCCCCCCCTCATGCTAGCCACATGGAGCACCTTTAACATTTCCCATTGATTACAGACATTTCACTCATACTGTATTTCTAGAGGATCCGCTCTATTAAATGATGCAACAAAAAATACTATCCTTGTGGAAGATGTCACTACCTCCAAATGATGGAAGCGCTCCTATGTGAGGCGCGAATTTATTTAAAAAGCAGTTACATTCACACTTACACATGTACATCACCACGTTTGCTTTGCAAGAGGAAAATAATTACGCACATAACTTAAACTGCAATTTTTCGTGAAAATTTAAATGTTTCGTTGTCATTTAAATGTCCGAGGGTTCAAACAAAAGCAGATTTGCGTCCAGAACTTTCCACCTCCAGTCCTTCTTCCTCATAGATATTGCTTTAATGTCAATATATAAAAACTCAAGCTCTCACTAGCTACAAATAATTACGCATTTTGGAAGAAATGGTAAGGCATTGTTGATTTCATGTGCACAACCTTGTAGCAAGTATGGCTGCCAACGCATGGTGTCGGCAAGGCCTGGGCGCGGTTGTGTTCAGATGCTTCTCAAGCAAGTCTCTAATTTCCTCTTTCGTGATATTAAGCACTTGCTGAGAATGTAAAAATATTTACCTGTTGGTCCTTCCTTCATCTGTTACGAAGCATACATTGTCAGGTTTAGATCTTTGGCATGTTGGATATTCTAAATTTACTAGTGAGAATCAGCAATGTCTGCCTAACGATATGTCTATCATAGTTGGATTTCTCCGACCTGAAGGACACATGCGTTTTATTACGTCTTTCATGTACGCACTGCATTAGAGCTGCATCAAAGGCATCCATGAATCACCTTTCCAACATGTTTCTGCACTTAGATGCAGTGGATTGAAACGCTCTGAAAAAGGTAACATTCAAAATTAAAGACATTAGGGATTCAAGGTCATACTAATAACTTTATGGAGTATGAATCCTCATGCTTTTTGTGTGCGATCATTGCCCACATAGTTTGTCAACAATGTCAACACAAGACTTAATCCTTTCCTATTGGTGAGGGCTTATATGATGCCCCTCTGACTTTCTTCTGTAGCTTCAGGGAATGAATTTTTCTGCAAGATGTTGACTCGTTTTTTGATAAAAGAAATGAGTGGATGCAATCTTGCAATTTTGCATTGCTCCCCATGTACTTTACTTCAAATGGGGAAGACTAGCTTTATCTTACAGGAGCAATATGGCCAAATGATAAGGAGACTTTCAATATTTTGAAGGCAGTAGGCAAAGAGGAAATTCGTTCGCTTATATTTGCAAGAGAAAATTGCATCAACCTAAAGCGTGCAGTGTTTCATGATGCAAGTCCTCACATCAATAGTGCTTATCATTGAAAGGCTAATTTGATTTTATTTGACATCCAAAGTATGATGGGAAAGCCTGTGTAACAGTAAAAAGCATCTGCCTTCTTTTTGCCACAAACCAGGTTTTACAAGAAAGAAGTTAGGCTCAATCAGCTTAGGTGTATTAAGTCTGAATATTTTTTGCTTTAGTTATTCTACCACTTGATAATCTACTGTCAATCAGGATTATATGAAGGTAGGTTTAGATGTGAAAAGGGAAATGGTCACTGTAAAAGTTTTCTTGAATGACTGTATGACTTTCATTCCTAGGATCATGATTCTTTCATTTGGAAAAATGTCCTTCACCTCTTAATTCATTTTTTCAGAAGTTTTTAATATACAAGGGTTGTTTGAAAAGTTCATGGCCTTAGTGGGAAGGGCTTGACCTAGGGGTGGCTACCTGTTATTTTTCAACGTAGTCCCCTTGAATGTCCACACACTTCTGCCAATGATGCTGCTGTGCCTTGATCCTATCGGGGAAGAAGGTTTCATCTTTTGTGTGCAAAATGTCCTCGACAGCAGAGATAACATCATTGTCAGTTGCATAATGAACACCAGCCATGTGTTTTTTCATGTTAGGAAACAGGTGATAGTCTGATGGTGCAAGATCTGGCAAATGGGATGGGTGTTCAATCAGTTCAAGGCCACAGTCATACAGTACAGCCATGGCAATCACAGACTTGTGAGCCAGTGCATTGTCTTGGTGGGACAACACACCTTTCTGGAGCTTTCCAGGACATTTAGCCTTGATGTTCTCCTGCAACTGCTTCAGCAGCGTAGCATAATACTCTCTGGTTATTGTCTGGTCCTTCAGGAGGTAATCCATCATCAATATCCCAGAAGTCAGATGCCATCACTTTGTCTGCTGATAGAACAGACTTAGCCTTTTTTGGAGGGGGGGAGAAGGTATGTTTCCATTGTTTCAACTGCTGTTTGGTCTCTAGCTAAAGTGGTGTACCCAGGTCTCATCCACTGTTATAAATCATGCCATGAAACATAAAATTGGCTGGATTTGCCTCAAAATGATGCAAATAGTCACAGGACATGTTGAATCTGATGTGTTTCTGATCTGGAGTCAGAAGCTTTGGGACCCAGCATGTTGAAACCTTCTTCATAGCCAATACATTCTTTAGGATGTGATGAACCCCTTCTGGTGAAATGCCTACGACACTGGCAACATATCAAGTGGTTACTTGTCGATCACCCATGACCCTTTCATGAACTTTATCAACAAACTCTAGTGGTGGTTGAAGGTTTCCCTGACTACTGGTCATCTTTGAGGCTTTCCCCTCCATGCTTGAATTCTGCTGACCACTTAACTGTGGCATAGGCAGGGGCATCCTCCCCAAATGTCACCACCATGTCTTCGTGGATGGCCTTGGGTGTTAAGCCTTTTTTCTGTAGGTATTGGATAATTGCACTGTGGTTGATTTTATCCGTTTTCTTGACTGATGGTTACTTGTTCACTTTAAAGACCTGTTAAACAGGAACAAATTAGTGGACCTCTTTCATATATGCTGGGTAAACATCTAAAGAGTCAAACTTAATACACACATATATTTCATGGTATAGCATAAATGCTTCCCACATAGGCTACAAACTTTTCAAACAACCCTCATATACTAATGTTCAGCCTCTAACTATTGTACTCATATTCTGGGATTGGCTCTGGCACTATAGAAGAAGAGGGGAGAGAAAAATTGGAGTTGTGCATATGAATAAAAAATGAGTTTATACCCTAATCAGTAAAAAAAAATTCATGAATTAAGATTGCTCAAAAAGAACAGTCATAAAGTCAATGCAGTTATGATATTTCAGTGATCAGTGTCACCATCTATGGTTTTTGGCATCAATGTTTTGACTAGGCACACATTGCATCGGCATTTAGAGAAGTATATTGCTTAAATCAATGTTTGCAGATCAATATATATGAGTAGTGAATAATGGGACCCCACTGAGACTGGAAAGTGAGAGCATTAGAGAGAAAGAAAATATGAGAGGAATTATGGCTGAAAATGTCATTTCTTATGACCAGAAATGGTCACTTTGATTAATGTGTTTGCATGTATTGTAATGGGATCTGTAATAATCACTTCCTTATTTTCTTAGTTTTTTCGTTGGCAGAATTTACTTTTCTATTCATCAAATACAGTTAGTTTTTAATTGAGTTTTTCCTAATTCATGTTATTGTTGAGGCTTAAATATTTGGTTTCTAATGTATCCAATAATTTGATATGTCCATCTTCATTGCTCAATGCACCTTTCATGATTTTTTGGAAGAGAAAAAGAAAGCAAGTTGCTTGGAAATTGCTCATCCTTACAATTCTGAATATTTTGCAGACCTCTAGCATGAAGTTATAACAGGACTCATGGCATTTTTTGACAACAAGAAGTGGCTGTTAGAGCACATAAGAAATTCTTTCATCACCAGTGATGAAACTGGAATGTGTGAGTGGGTGTATTTGAACAATGACTTCCCCATAGGATGTGATGTATATGGCACTTCCTATGATATACGTCAAGCAGACGAGGATGGGGAAGAGGGGTCCATGGTTCAGTTCTCCCCTGAGAAACTTCGAGAGATGGGACACAGGAGACGATCCAACACCGCACAGCGTCTTGAAAAGCTCAAAAAAGAGAAAAGGCAGGCTGCAAAGTGTAGAAATGTGACTTGGCGTGAGAGGCACATGAACCTCACTGAAGAGAAACTGTCAGAGTTGTTCACTGAGAAGGAACTTGAAACTCCTATGGAGCCCATTGGTAATAAGGTTGTATCATGCTTTTCTGAGCTTCTGAAGATAACTCCCAGCATGCCAACCAATCCCTTTGCACAATATGCAAAGTTTGATGGCAATTCAAATGTGGGAGTTCCAATAAAGCGTATCAACATTAATCTGACAGCTTTACCAAAGTCACAGCAGACAAAACCACTCCCTGTCAGTGTAGTGGCATCTGCTAGGGTTTCTGACTTGATAGGACTTGTTTGTTACTTGTACACAAATGAGAATCTTCAACCACCACTCATTTCAAGGGCTGAAGCATATAGCCTCTTCATGGCAGATGAAGATGGTACAGTGGACCTTGATCTTCCATGCTTGAACCCACGAGACAATATTTCAAAGTTTCTCTTCAGTGTGTTGGCTCTTGTAGAGAATCCAGATAGGGGTATACATGGAGAAAAAAAGTTTGTCCATGTGAATATGCCAGATGACAGTTCTGTGGATATTGAGTTGTCCAGTGAATGTGAAACTGCCGAAGGCCTAGTCAAGCAGGGCCTTAAAAGGGCCAAATTGTTGAGCAAGTATCGTGTCAGTGATGTGCAGCTCTACAAGAAGTCTGATCCCAATGTGCCATTGAGTCATGACACTCGTATGTCATCTGTGGATGATCGAGAACTTGTAATCAGAAGAAAAAGTGAAGCTACTGCAACTGATGGGTGCCTCACCCAAGAACTCCTGATTATTGATGCCCCTCGTTATGAGTGTTTCCGGGTATCACAGGTGCATAAAATCATGTCATCAACAGAAGTCCAGATGGGTATCTCAGGAGAAAAGATTGAAATTGTTCCTGCTCAGGCCAGCATGGCATCCAAACTCCTATCCAAACCTACTAAACTCATTTCATATGACATGAACAATGTGGCTGACTGCATCCTCATTGAGGAACGATATAACTGTGCATACTTCCGCTTCATATTTTCAGATGGAGAAGGGAATTTCAAGACATATGACTTTGAAGGAGACAAAGATATAGTAAAGATGATCGTGGAAAAATGCCATAATATTTTAGAGTTGCATCCTAGTCAAGTGAGACAGGAGTATCTTGCAATAAAAGAGACTCGATCAAACAGGAAGAAGGCAAAGAAGTGAACTTGGGATTTGATTAAGTATTCTGTGACCAGACATGAATTCATAATCATGCAGGGCCTATAGAGGTGTTTTTTTTTTCTGTGATCACCTGGTCTAGCATGTCAGTGGATTGTCAATGTGTGCTATCAATTGAATTTATAAGATTTTCTTCTGATCTGAAAATTTAGCATGTGGGAATTGAAAGAATGTTCTATGAATAAATCTATAATTTGTTATTCAGGCTTACAGAACTTCACACTGTAGGACCCCAATCATTGCCTTATAGATTCCCTTTTAGTTGGTATTGTAACAGTGGACCTAAATTTTATTCCTTCTGCACAACTCTAGACTTGCAACAAACATTACTGAGCCAGTGTCCAGGATCACATTATAAGAGGGATATAAATGCCATCAACTTACTTCTTTTAACTACCTCAGATCATCTTTTTTATCACCTCTAATCCAATCCTGATTCTTTCCTGAGATGTGAAACGTCTCAGGAAAGAATCAGACAATTGAACACTCATTTGTAGGATCAATAGAGTGTATTCACTGGTAAGTTCCTAAGACTGGAATATATTATGTGAATTGAAATTCATAATGTGAAACAAGAATTGCAGATGTTTAGATTCATAAAAGTGTTGTACATTGAATCAAAGAAGATAAAGAGAGCTTTCCAAAGATGTGAAATTTGCCACGATCACAACACAGAATTCTGGGCAATGAATGGAACTGCTAACCTCAAAGAAGCTAATGGTAGTGCTCACTTTTTTTGGAATGGGATCATTGGAATCAGTGTGGGAGGCTTGGGAGGTTGCAATTGTTGCTGATCCTGAATTCTCTTGCAGTGGTGTTGCTTTTGAGTGTCTAGATGTGGGTCTAGGCTTAACAGACCTAGTCATGGGAAAATTGCAGTTTGAATGATACTTTGTGCTTGCTTTGGCTGAAAACATAGGCAATTGAATTTATCCCCCTGCTCTCAAAATTTAAGTATTGTCACATTTTTTAGCCATTGAAGTAGAAGAGCTAGGTATACAGGAAGCAGAAGAGAAGAAAAATAGGCCTTGGTTATGGAGGCTTCCACGACTGACATCTTTATTTCTTTCCCCATTGCTAAAGTGAAATCTGCTATACTTTTTATCATGGCTTGACGTCCCAGTGCAAAATTCTTGTGAATAACTATCAGTAAGACTTAACCAGGGTTTCAGTTACATTGCATAATTCTAAGAAACTGGTTGAGATAAGGAAATAATGGAGGAGAGAGAATTACATTCAAGATAGTTTCTCTCTTCAAAACAGCAGTGGTGGCCTTCATGTGGTACTGCTTCATGGAAGCAGCTGCCATGCCTGTGACATTCATGAATGATTTGTGGACTTGTTTGCTTTGGTTTCCACAATGGGAAAACATACAAAGAGATATACTGTCCAGGGCATGATGCTGTAATACTGATAAGCTGTTTTTTTCTGTACTGAATTGGTGATCTATGACAAATTGAGAAGCAGTCATGTTGCTGCTAGGCAGAAGTGTTTAAAATGGTTTCGGTGAATGTTCCTGCTCTAGAGGCCAGGGAATGTACACCACTCTTCCATGATGACTGAGCAAAAGCATGCAAGGCTTTTTAATGCAGTTGTACATCAACTTATTGCAATATACAATCATTGAGGTTGGACTTTCATGAAAACATCAATGGTTAAATCCAATCTCCTTCCAGGTTCTATCAACTGAGTCTCCTGTTTGCTTGAAGGGAATCCTTTTCTGGACAGATGGAAGAACTATTAGCTGTAGTCTCTGAGAATTTTGGAGAGGATGTTGCTCAGATTAGCCTGAGGGCATATAATGATTTGCCTAAGAAGGGCAAACCTAAAGAATTGGAGTGGAGTGTTCTTGCCACAATTGTGAAGAAGACTCAGTCAAATCAACTGAGAAAGGAATTAGAGGTGGTAGCACTTGGAACAGGCACCAAATGCCTTGGTCAGTCAGAAGTGGATAGCTGTGGAGGACTTGTACGTGACAGCCACGCTGAAGTCATTGCTAGGAGAGCTTTTCTCCATTATATGTGGAATCAAGTAGACTACTGTTACAAGGGATTGGATTCCATTCTGAAGATGGAGGAAAGTGGTACTTGTAGTCTGAAGCCAAACGTGAGCTTTCATCTCTTTACATCTGAAATGCCATGTGGAGATGCATCCATAACAGTTGATACAACTTCAACAAGTTCTGAGCCAGTGAAGAAGAGATTTAAATTAGATACCAATACTGGAATTCATCAATTGGAATCTGCTGGTGTTCCAGTGACACGTGGCACAGGTGCCAAATGCACCATCACAAGAGAATTGGGTTTACCAGGAAATAAAAATGAATTTAGAGTTGAGACTGGGTTGGTTCGAGTGAAACCGGGTCGGGGGAACCCAACGATGTCCCTTTCTTGTAGTGACAAGCTGGCCAAGTGGACTATTGTTGGAATCACCGGTTCACTTCTCTCCAACTTCCTGCAGTCTTCTATATTCCTGAGTTCTATTACAGTGCCCAAGAATTTATTCAATCAGGAATCTATGCATCGAGCTCTTGTGGGAAGATTTGAGAATGAACCCCTTTACAAGGAAATGAAAGTTGGAAGAATAGACTTCTTCACGTGTAGTGCTTGTGTACCTTTTCTAAAAAGAGAATCCAGTAAAGCTTGTGTACCTGCACCAGGAAGTATTGCTTGGAATCCTTCTGGTCTTCATGAAGTTGTTGTATGTGGCTACAAGCTTGGAACAATCAAGAGACATATGGGGAAGCCTCCCAGCTTTGTGCCACTTTGCACAAGGAACCTCTTCCTTCATCAGTTCCTTGGTATTGTGCAGCTTCATCAGAAGAATATTCCAGAACATGTCAGGAAATTAAATCCAAAACTCCTTCATTATGAAGATGCCAAGACCCTGAATGAGCATTACTCTGCACTTTGGAAGCGTGTAAAGGAGGAACTGTTTGTGCATTGGACAAAGAAACAAAGTTATCCAGGTTTAACTGCAAACTACTCACTGGAGAGTGATTAGAGGATTTGCTGCTGAATTAGGATTTCTTTCTTATTTCTGTTTAATTTCTCTTGTGCAAGAGATTTTTTAATTTTGCATAGTTGCTATATTTATTGCCTGCCTGCACTAATGTGTATGGATGCCTGAGGCTCTTGGCTCTAAAAGTCATTATTTGTTGAAAAAGACAGAAGAGTCATATGTCCTTATCCAAAACCAAACTGTGCTAATGAGAACACTTCACAGCCATTTTGTTGCAGTGCATGAAATGAATAGATGAAGATGGTTCGGAAGAAACTAGACAACCGCATCAGGGTCTCAATTGAAAATGGGGCCCAATCTGGTCACAGGACCATGTTTGTTATTATTGGAGACAAGGGAAAAGATCAAGTGAGAAACTTCTGTTAATAGGCCAATTCATACGATTTATTTGTGCATGAATTCTGAAAGACCTTTCTTCTCCCTAATTAGGTTGTGATCCTGCATCACATGTTGTCAAAAGCACAGGTAAAAGCAAGACCATCTGTTCTTTGGTGTTACAAGAAGGAACTGGGTTTCAGCACGTGAGTGTTTATGTAGGACCTCATCTGTTACTATGACATATATATATGTGGTTTGTGATCTTCCTGGTCTTGTTTCTTATCCTCAGAAAAATGCTATTAGTTATAGTTACTTCAGGACCAAATGATTTATAAGTATGGGGGAAATATTTCATTTACTCCATTTGGCTTCAGCAAGGCTTATGAAACACGAGAGTGCTTTAAAAAAATTTATACAAGTAATGCAGTTTGAATAATTCAGCTGGTACCCAAATCTCTATTTTTTGTTGTATGTTCCCTAACATTTCACTACTACTTCCCATTATCTAGCATGGGAAAAAAATTGCAGGGAAATAAATTTCTGAAAATTACTCACTCTTCCAAAAAAATCAGAATTTCTATCTTTGATCTTCTCTACTGTAGATGCACACAGGGATGCAACTGACAAGCAGTAAATTAAGCACCCTATAGATTTCATTGCTGCAGTAAAGCTAACACAGCTGTTATTCAAGAAAAGTTCAGATGTGAGACTTGGAATATTCTTGAAATTGACAAAGCCATATGGACTTACTGGGCTGGAAAGCTTTTTTTGTTGGGAGTTATGTCAAAGTTGCTATCTGTGATAGAGTGCAGTGAAAAATGTTACCTGTCTCAATCTTGGCTTCTTGCGCATCTTTACCTGCACTTTTATTGTAGTCTTGGAAACTTATCCCTAAGATAAAAGAAGTAATGAGAGTTAATTTATAATCTGTTGCAATGTCTTACTCATTTGCAAACTAGCAACCGGAAGAAACGCATGAGACTACTGCAAAAGAAAATGAAAGCAGGGAAGAGCAATGTGAATGAGGATGATCCATTTGAGCTATTTGTTTGTTCCACGGACATTCGATACTGTTACTACAGGGAGACTCACAAGATTCTTGGGAATACCTTTGGCATGTGTGTACTTCAGGTAACTTACCATCTTTCTCAGAAATAGTGGGGGGGGGGGGGAAAATGGGTGTTGATGACTTGGACTTAAATTTTTTTTAGGATTTTGAAGCTCTTACCCCCAATCTGCTTGCCCGAACAATTGAGACAGTTGAGGGAGGAGGAATCGTGGCCCTACTCCTGAGGTCTGTCAGTTCTCTTAAGCAATTCTACACAATGGCTATGGATGTCCATGCTCGATATCGAACTGAAGTCCATCAGGATGTCGTTGCTCGATTTAATGAAAGGTAAGCTGTCACTGATGCAAAACTATCAGGTAAATTTTAGTATTTGTTAACCTTTCTATATATGATTTATTTATAGGTTCATTCTTTCACTGGCCACATGTAAGAACTGCATTGTTGTTGACGATGAGTTAAATGTGTTGCCACTGTCTTCTCACATTGTCAACCTGGAGTCCATCACACCCAAGCCAAAAGAAGAATCTTTGACCGAGTCCCAGCGAGAACTGGCTGGACTCAAGCAGAGCCTCCAAGATACCCAGCCTATAGGTGTTCTTGCCAATATCTGCAAAACCTCAGATCAAGTCTGCAGTTTCCCATATTTTCTTCTTTCTTTTCATGCACATGCATCAGTTCAATATCAAAATGTGTATTCCTGAACAGGCAAAAGCACTGTTAAAGTTTATAGATGTCATATCAGAAAAGACATTGCGGTCAACCGTATCATTGACGGCTGCCCGTGGAAGAGGAAAGTCAGCAGCTCTTGGACTTGCAATTGCAGGTGCTATAGCCTTTGGCTACTCAAATATCTTTGTTACAAGCCCCAGTCCAGAAAATTTGAAAACTCTGTTCCAATTCGTCCTCAAAGGTGCGTCTTCCAATTCGTCCTCATTATTCTGGTATCTTTCTTTTGCGACTCTTTCACTCCATTCCAATCTTCATAATGCCCTGGATCTGGAATTTTCTTTATAGGATTTGATGCCTTAGACTATCAGGAGCACATGGAGTATGAGCTGGTGCAGTCTACTAACCCTGAGTTCAACCGGGCTGTCATTCGCATCAACATCTTTCGTGAACACCGCCAAACCATTCAGGTCTTCCTTTTTCCCATTTCTTGTTTCTCATCTGGATCTTAAGACATGGGCTTAAGTATCCTATAAAATGTCAAAACAAGAGTAATACAAATTGGAAGTTGAAGTTGGTATTCATGCCCCATCAGTACATTCATCCAACGGATGGGGAGAAACTGGGCCAAGCAGAACTCGTGGTAATTGATGAGGCAGCTGCCATTCCCCTGCCTCTAGTGAAGGGCCTTCTGGGTCCATACCTTGTCTTCCTTGCATCCACTATCAATGGGTGAGAGGACAAAAGCAGTCTGTTGTGAGGGAAGACAAGTTTATTTCATATAGTTCATGCTATCTTGGATAAATGTATTTTAGGTATGAGGGAACAGGACGATCCTTATCTCTCAAATTGATTCAGCAACTGCGAACACAATCTACAGCTGCAGATGTTGGCATGGGTCTGAGTGCACGGACCCTGCATGAGGTCACATTGGTTGAATCAATTCGATACAGCCCTGGAGATGAAGTTGAACACTGGTTGAATACATTATTATGCCTGGATGCCACTGTAGCTCCCCCTATCAGCTCTGGCTGCCCCCTTCCACAAGACTGCGAGCTCTATTACATCAATCGAGATACCCTGTTCTCATTTCACAAAGTTTCTGAAGCCTTCCTCCAGAGGCTGATGGCATTATATGTTGCATCTCATTATAAGGTATGAAAAGAAGAGTCAGTCTTGTCAAAATGACTGCCCCCAAATTATTTGCACAAATAACATGTTAAATTCCTCTTGGATAGAACACACCAAACGACCTGCAGATGATGTCTGATGCTCCAGCACATCACCTCTTCTGCCTCCTCCCTCCTGTTGATCCAACACGGCACATGCTTCCTGAAGTCCTTTGTGTCATCCAGGTTGAACCTTTGAATCACAAATTTTGTAGAACTGTCTCCATATGATAATGTATGCTCCACTCATTCCTGATCAGATTAATGGCATAATTTTTTTTTACAGAAGTATGTATCTTAGGTGAGAATGAGACACATGAATATTAATAGTTGAGTGTTTCCAAGAAAGTGTATCTGATTTTAAAGATCCCATCTGAAGTTCAGAGTTGTTTGAAGGCATCAATTATCCATACTCTGTGTGTTAGCTGATGTAAAATTATGGATGTATTAAAATAGATTTTGTAATGTGTACAAAGATGGGTTTGGAGGGAGTGTTGTTGCAATCTCCATTTTGTTGGATTCACAGGTGTGTTTGGAAGGGGAGCTTTCATCATCTTCAGTGCATGGTGGGCTGTCACAGGGGATGAGGGCATCAGGTGATCTCATTCCATGGACTGTAGCTCAGCAGTTTCAGGACAATGAATTCCCCACACTTGCAGGTGCTCGAATCGTTCGCATTGCAACTCACCCTGACTATCAAGCGGTATGTATTCTCTTATGAAGTTATGATTCCCTCTCTTCTCATCTTGCTGAGAAACTTTGAGAAAACATTTTCTGTTAGATGGGCTATGGAACCAGGGCATTGGAACTCCTTACCAAATACTATGAGGGTTTGATCCCCAGCCTGAATGAAAATCAGGAGGAAAATAAAGCCAAGAGTGCTGAAATTGAGTCCATCAATGAGGAGGAAGTTGGACTGCTTCAAGAAAAGATAGGCAAGGCATCTTGCTTTGACCTGTTTTTTAACTTTGATTTTTTTTTCATTTTGTAAGGCTAGTGATTAAATACCCTATTTGTTCTTGGCAGGACCGAAGAAGAACCTGCCCCCATTACTTCTGAAATTGAGTGAAAGACCTCCTGAGCGGCTCGATTACCTTGGAGTCTCCTATGGACTCACATCTCAGCTCATCAAGTTCTGGAAACGTTCCCAATATGTTCCTGTCTATCTCCGGTAAAACTAGTATTATGACATGCTTACACTACTGTCATTAAAGCTAGCAAAACAATATGTTAAGTTCATATTTAGTAACTTTTTTCATATTGTTTTGTTGACTTTGAAATCATAATCAAATCAGATATTACTATGCACAATTCATATATTTGATTGAACTGATTAACTCATAGGCAGACAGCAAATGAGCTAACTGGAGAGCACTCATGCATAATGTTGAAGGCCTTGGGTGGTGAGGAATCCTCACATTGTCCCTGGTTGACAGCCTTCTACCATGATTTCCAGAGAAGAATCATCTCCCTCCTCTCTTTCTCCTTCCGAGACTTTCACCCAAAGCTTGGTCTTGCTCTCCTAACAAACCCTTCTGTTCCAAATCAAGTTTCCTGTGAGTATACTGGCAAATTGCTTTATATAGGGTGAGTGTTGTGAATGTCGGCACCCTAAGCAAATTCTGCACTTCCACCTTGCTTGCTGGTTTTCGTAATGGAGTTTCCTCGTTCATAACTGGTGATAACTTTATTATAAACCTTATACCGCAAACCTCGAGTGCCCCAGACCTTTCATTTCTGAGGGCCTGGGTCAAAGGTGAAGTTGGGTCAGATGTTGGCAATCTCGGCACACTTGCTAGTATAGATGGCACCACCCTGTCGGGAATCTCGGCACACTTATGAATCACTGTCGTTTACAACAGATCCAAAAATGAATGCAACGACCAGATAAAACAATATCTGGTGTGGAAGAGAAGAACAGAATGTGAAAAAGCTTAGCAAAATCACAAGATTTCGCAGGATTTTTGGGGTGCGCTTAGAGAAAGGGGCCACTGCGAGAGAACTACAACAGTAAATCTGTTCCAAGCACATGTTAACAACATTAGTCCTACCATCTGAGAACACTTATCTACCCGTGCCTAGGGCACTAGTAGTGGAAGCAGAACTTTGACAATTGCAAAGTGCCGAGATTACCCCCAGTGCCGACATTCGCAGCACTTACCCTATATATCATGCATAAAAAAGATCCAGAACCCGATACGAAAGCAGTAGCAGTCGTGAATCCCACATGACTTCAGCATGATATCCGGCAACCGTGGTGACGGGACTGAAGCCAGCACACTAAGCCTAAATGAACGATACCTAATTTGTTTTTTTTTGTTTTTGTTTTGTTTAAATGACAAAATGGTGCATCGTCAACAACCAAAAGAGCACTTTTCGCAACCTACACGTCAATTTCTTTATTTCGGTGAGGTTGTCTCCTTCAGAAAACTCCCCAGGAGTGGCTACACAGGTGGTGGGAGAAAAAGAAAAAAATGAATAAATTCACATAAAAAATCGCTATCAGTGAACTACGGAGAATTGGAGCTTCAAGTGATAAGGTGTCTTCCAGAGCGTGAAATCCTCTGCGTCATGCATCTTTGGGTTGTGGTACTTGCATTTAACTCCGACAGGGGCAGTGATGTGGCCCTGCATCAGCGCAATGCAACCGTTGATGAGTAATACGATGAATTTATACCCGATTCATTTTTGTTGTCTGCTGTTCGTTTTTGGTTAAATTAAATTTGGAGCAAAAAGGGGAAAAAATGAACCTTTTTTCCAAGGGCTTTCCTCCCGTGCCATAATTCTGTCATAGAAAATAAGACGGTCCTTTTTTCATTATCCTAGCGATGGTCAAATCAAAGTGATCTCTTTCCATTCTCCAATCAGATTCTCTTCCCTCTCAGTGCTCTCAAAACGATAAGGTAGAAATTCTAAGAATTAAGCTATGCCTTTTTAGAATTGGGAGATATTTGAAACCTTGGGAAATCTAATACTAATATATTCACGCTGTTCTTGTATCTCATAGACTTAGTTCTGCTAGGGACACGTCCTCTCAGTGTGCGGACAAGGCCCCTCTTCATTCCAAGACTTCTCTCAATCACAGCTGCAAAGATCGTGGCTTGTATCCGTTCATTTCTCTTCTTTCAAGTTATTGCGATAGCACTTCATTGTATGCAAAATGCCAGCATTGAAGTGGTTGCAGGTTGAGTTGAGTGCAGTTACAGGGGTTCTCCAGCACCCCGTCCATTCTGGATAGGTGTACCACGACCAGACCCCCTCTGGAACACCCAGTCTCCCGTTCTCTCAGTTCCGCTTCACATATCGACCTGCTCTGACCTGAGACGTTCCAGGTACATCTTTCACATGGGTTACCAATACGAAGGAAATTGCAATGGGGTCCATGTCACCATTGCAATTGGCAGATATGACCTTGTTGGTCAAAAGTATCGACCTGATAGGTGCAATATTTATGGAAAAAGATTGGTATTCTTGCATATGTTATGCATGATTCGTGCACCTGCTCATTGTGCAACATTTTTGCTTATTTCATGGAAAAAAGCAACCACTGTGCGCATTGCATGGAATGAGCGAATTTGTTGAAATATGCGTAAAATAGGCAGAAATTTTCTGGCGATTGCACGCCCTGAGATATCATCAAATTAGTTTCATTCGCTGTCAATTACATGTGACAATTTGGTCGAAATGATGCGACCATGTCATAAGGAATTAATGGCTACTTGGCAATACCTTCAACCAAGCAGTATTCAATGGTGATTCAGACAGGTACTACCAGAATGGCATGAGCTCTCAGATCTAATCTTACAAAAGCATATCGAAGTTTCGCCCTTGTTTTTACATATCAATACATTAGCAGTATTTGAAGCCCTTCCTCTCACCTTTTGAGATGGCAATAGCGACTTCGTGCAATGGCTTCTTCTCGTTGTTGATGCCTTGCATTTTTACGATCTTCGTTTTTACCGATTCCATCGCGTTCTTTTCCATCCAGATTTTCATTTTCCCATCTCTTGTTCCGATCTTCGTTATTCCCGTCCTTCTTTTCCAAAACCAATCCAACTATGGTAGGGTGATCAGTTCGACCTCGATCAAATTCAGAGTCACGGTCAGTAAAATTGTTTGAGTGAGTCGTTTAAACCTGCTGCTCAGCACCCACATGACAGCTGTGCCACAATCCGAGAGAAAACCTTAGGCCCCAAAGGAGAGAAGAATGGGCACATCTTATTGATTCGAAAAACTTCCTCCTCGGAAGTCCACTTGCACATTGCGTGAACAAAGCAAGTGGAATGCGCGCGATAGGCAAAATGTTTGCTAATTTCATGAAATACGCGATCATGTTATTTTGTGCGCGTATTTAGCAAAAATGTGCACAATGAGCAGGTGCACGAAGCACGCATAGCACATACAGCTTTCCATCCATTGTGGAAATTTCGATCCACCATATGAGAATGGTTTGATTTGGGAAATTCTAATGAAAAAAAAAACACAATGTCTCTTCATAATGCAAAACAGCAGGAATATCTTCTAGCAAAAATTCGTGATTGTGTCCAGAGCACAGGCTTTGGACAATTCACGTTGAATGACCCATATGGAAACAGACGGTCTCACCCGTAATTAAGAGTTCCGTGAAGGCATTCCTGCGACATGTCAAGTATATGACAGTAAGAAAGTTAATTACATTGCAATAGAATGAAAAGTGCATTTTCTTACTATTTTATCAGACTAAGGAATGCTGTAGGGATTGTCCTCACGAAGTTGATTTGATGAGAAAGGATTTTTTTTTTCATTATTGGAGTGAAAAAATATTTGTGACGCTCGAGAGATACTATTAATAGTTAGCCTGCATCCTCTGTATTTTACGATGAGAATACCAGTAACTGATGCTCAAAAAGTGAAATGAATAATCTTTATTTCAATTTAGGAAGTCAAAAGTTAGCAATAACATTACCCAAACCAACAGTGCTTGTTAAGCTTCTCTTGTATGGAGCCAGGGAGTTTGCCATCCTTTGCCACCTCCATTACCCAGCGTTGACAATTACTTTCAGCTAATGAATACGGTCTTCCATTCAACTTGCTGGAATTCGCCATGTCCAGAAGCTTCTTTGGGGAACTCGTCCAGTCTCCCAGGTGCGATACCGTTCCGTTTTTTGGCCAATCCTCTTTCATGTGCACTTCGAGATGCATGCTCTTTTCCTCGATGCCGAATCTCCTGACGACACCATCGTCGAATACGAAGACCAGGGCCCAGTGGCGATTGGGCAACTTGCACGTGCAGTTGATCGGACCGACGGCAAGATACACCTTAACCGAGTGATCAATTTCCTTCGGCTCGGTCGGCTGCTCAACGCATTCAGGGCCGCTGTCCATCTTGAGATTGTGCAAAACGCTCCACGAATGCCAATTCTAGAGATCTTCCGACTCCTGCTCCTGTAACACAACCCGATTCCTTCGTTTACTTATATTTAGCTGTGTATACATTTTCGAGTGATGAAATTGTATAGGACATTTCGTGGTGTCCTGTCCTTTTCGCACAGAAAACAATCATTCCACAAGTGGGACCCTGATTCGTATACGCTCCCTTTGCCTCACTTTCCAAAAGGCCAGAAACTTACACATTGTCCAATTGCTTTTGGTAATGGAAAAACTAACAAGTGCCTCCGGACAGAAATCCCTGAACACGTTTGAAGACCTCATCAAACACTGTTACCCTACACAATGCAAGGACAGGGCAAACTTTGAACTCTCTTATCTAACATGCAGTTCTTTTATCATTCCTTCACATGCCCAGTCACTTGGAATTGTACCGAACGTCACGTTTTATGTATGTAAAGCCTTGACCTTTGCAAAAAGAACCCCCATCGATGTCTCCAAATAATTCTGCTGGGACCATCAACCTTCAGCTTGTCCAATGGTGTATTTACTGTCCACCTTACGCTCCTTCGGACTCAATAAATATATTATTCCTATCTATATTCGGGCACCAGACATGGCACGTGATTTCTACACATGGTCAGAAATGGCGAATGGTAAATTTATAAATGGTCGATATTGTAGAAATTTTAATATTTTAAAAGGAAGTATGGTACGATGGTATATTTTTATTCTTTTAAATCTCTATCATAAAAATATATATACCGTGCTATATTGCTTTCGAGAGATTTTTTGCTGTCCCACTAAAAATAACAAGTCATGCTTCCCTGAGTCATAATCTTATCTATTAGTCTATCTGAGGGGCGAAATATAGTTCCTCGACCGAGCCGGTCGAGGCTTTTCTTCGACGGGACACATCGCAACGAAAACTCTGATGCAATTTGCCAAGTTGTCTTGCCATTCTAACAACATGGAGAACCGAACCAGCCCTCGCACTGGGAGGGTATGATCTACTGAACAAATCAGACGGTTACCTACTTAACAGCTGTAGCAGGGGCGTAGGGTGGGAACAAACTTTGAAATCGCCCGCGGTTCCAAAAGGCGAGAATTAGGCTAGAGAATCATCGCCTTCAGGACTCCTTCTATGACTTCAGGAGTTCTTTAATTTCACTCATTTAAGTAAAATTGAGTTTTTGCGAAACTTACAGTTCGAAGCTGTCCTCCTCTGCCAGACATCAATTTGGTTTCGACTAACACTTTCTTATTGTTCAGTATCGAACGCGTACGAGATGTTTGAGGTGCAGAAGCGGCGGAATGTGCAGCAACTGAAATCAGTGGATGAAAAAGGTGGACATCCGCTTTAAGCCATCGAACGTATTGGCCACTAACTCGTATCTTATCTTGCACCCAGCGAGAGATAGCCCACGATATCAGTTTGTCTCGCTTTCCATATCACTGTGATGAATATGAGCAGGACCGTACTGTCAATTTGCATGCAAAATGCATTCTATTATTGCAAGAAAGTCCCTTGATATTTGATGCATCAGAAAACGAACCAGAAACGGGCGTTTTGAGGAAGTTGATGGCTCGGTTCGTTTCAACTTTAAATTTTCCATGCACAGTAGTGGACAAACTTACTGCAGGCAGTGGCTTCCGTTTCTTCCAATTTTCTACCTGTATCACCTTTGAAAAAGTACATATTCCGGACTCACTTGATGTAGCCACTACGAGAATAACTCACCATCCGGACTTCACCATCAGGATCCTTCGCGGTGTCGGTCGAACAGTCAAGATGGAATTCTTCACTCGATTGCCACATTACCTGACTTGCCACCTGACCCGTGGAAGTTAAACACCGCGTCGGCACGTCGCTCCACGAAAGAAGCCCTTTCTGACGAAAAGGTTGAGGAACGGCCGGAAGAATGCAGTCGTTGCCTCACGACTCGGCTGCTCACATCCTCACCGAGAGCTCATTCCAGGTCCATTTCAAGGATATTGATGTTTATCTGTCTCGCAAGTTTGAGTGCTTTCAGCACTTGATCCTGTGATGATGTTGACTCCTTGTGTCACTTTCCCTTTTCGATGTTGTATGAGGACGCAAGCAACCGTGGATCGGTTATAAACAACTTTTTTGGGTCCCTGGTGCTCAACCTATATGAATCCATAAGCACGAATGACATTCTGCGACATTCTGCAGCTCACTCGACATCCTTCGTCGTGTCCAAGCAATTCGCACTTGACACTAATGCAGATATGACTAACACTGATTGATCACGCACTTGCAATCTCATAAGAATTTTGAATCTGAAAACAATCCTGGCAATCATAACCTGATTAGGTTCATTGGTAAATAATGGAGCTTTCAGCTACATTCCAGGAAATTCGTAAACAGCGATGAATTGCATCAATCGATGTCCATTCGTTAGCTTGACTCTTCACTTTGTGTAGACGTGAATCGCTCACCGCGCATTTCCCCCGAACGCCCTAAAGCCATTCAACTTCTCTCTTATGGAGACTGGGAGATCCTTTGCCATCTCCTTTACCCAATGTTGGCAATTACTATTATGTGGCGAATAGCGTTTCTTGTTCAATTCGTTGGTCCTCGCCAACGTCAGCAGCTTCTTGGGAGAACTCTTCCAAACTCCCAGGAAGTCTCGTTCGGTTGCGATGCTCGGCCACTCTTCTTCCACGTGTGCTTCTATGTAGTTACCTCTTTTCTTTATTTCGAATCTCCTGACGGTCTTCTGGTGGTCTCGGAATTTGAAGACCAGGGCCCAATGGAGCAAAGACTTCGGCAAGCTGCAGATATCGTGGACTTGGGGCGAGATGCACCTCATCGGCCGTCTGACGAGATACACTTCAACTTCACGCTCGTCCTCATCCTTTTCCACAACCTCCTCCACCCTCGCGTCGCATTCAGTGCTATCGTACATCTGAAGGCGGCCGTGCGATCGTTTCACCGATACCAAATCGACGAGTTTTCCCTGTCCTGCAATGAATGAAAAAGAGGCTAAACGAGGTCACCTGGCGTGTCGCGTATCCTTGAGTTGTTTATACACGGGTCAATGAGGGGTGCTGAACAACTTCTGACAATGATATTTTTCCATCTCCACAATATTCATACGTATCAGTTGTGAAGGTCAAAATTGGAATCTCGTGAGACCCCCACCCATTCAATTGATACACAAAGCTACGTCCTTATCAGGCACTTGTTGAAGTACTCACAGTACTCAGACTCTGATATGCTTCTCAGCTCTGCATTGACACCTCGGATCAAGTTCCCGATAGGAAAAAAGTCAGGCTCCAACCTGTTAAGGTAAAGCTTGAGGTTTTTTTGAGCAAAAACGCAGGGGGAGGGGGGGATATATCAGGTACATTACGGTCTTTATCCGAGGAAGGTTCACACGTTAGAATGTCGATTCTCGTTGCCAACCCCTAATTCGACTAGTCCTTTTAAATGCTACAGTGAACATGGGTAAATTACAAAGCTTCAGGTCTTGAGCTCGGGATGCTGTCGGTAAGAAGCCTGTGGTATGATGATAGGCTTACAGCAATGGATTGTAAATATCAAATATAATATGATGAGAACTTTAAACTTACAGTTCATAACTGTGCTCCTCTGCTAGATCGAGAGCATCAGGTTCGTTTCAGTCCAGCCAAAGCCTAATCGGCGAAAGGATGCAAATATCACAATGGTGAATTCGTTCTCTCTCGTGATGGCCGAGACGCGTCAAGCTGCCGACATATCACAACTGGAGCCAATAGATGCACACTTCAATTGGCAGCCATTTTGCCCACTGGCGCTTATCTAATATGCTCTTATCTTTTACATTCATAACAAAGTAATAAAAAGGTCTCCAAAGTATTGTATGCTCAAGAATATGTAAAGATTGCAAGGATAAGTTATCCCCACCCCAAGTTTTACATATAAATGTGTAATGGTCACGTGCTCGAAGACACCAGGGAAAAGGTGGCTGATGCTGACGGCGCTCCATGGACCGCGTGTTGAACGAGCCGTTATGAAACCTTGCGAGTCACTCACTCGACCGTTTCAACGGCCTTTCGGCTCTATAGAGACTGATTATTGGGAGTGGGTGAGACATACGCAATGTGATCTCCACTGCAACTCCCTTCGACCTCAGTTGCATGTACGTCGCGGTCTGGTGAAGGTCACCTCCCCCCCCCCCAATCCCACACTAATCGAAAAGGAGGGCCGGGCCTGAGAACCCAATATGCTGCTTGTCAACCACGAATCTCATGCCCAGTCTGGCTTTGGCCACCTTTCTCGAGGGATTGGAGAAGCAGTGATAGTCCCTGGATCATCCGACGGCTGAACACGAGATTTGCAGAACTGAAACGAAAATATCCTATTTATCAAAATATCTCAGTATCTCAAGTACTGAAAATATGAGAAACAAGAAATTGAAAACCACCTACATTTTTAGGAATAAAAATATATTCAAAGTGATATCTACAATGTAACATGGATTAGATCCGGACTTAAGAGTACACTTGCTCAACCTTATACGCACAAAAGAGTGACAGCTCTGACGATCCCATGTTCTTATACTATAAAATACTTTGTGTATTACATTTTCGGCTGCCGTTAGTATCACAGAAGCAGGCAGAGCAATATCGAAAAGACTCGCCCGGATGCCGATCATCGAGGCCCATTTTGGTTAAACAACTCTCTCCCCTCATGGAACCCTCGCTTATTTAAAAAAAAACCCCCAAGGGTTGAGTGATATGGGCGAGATTTTCGTACACCGTCCAAGATACTCGTATAGTCTGAAGCACTGCTATAATATAAAGACAAAGGGCGAATCATCGCAGGGTGAATTAGCCAGATGTACGATAGGGAGGCGGGAAGGAACCTACTTAACGTCTAAACGAAAGGTTTTGAGGGTATATGGAACAGAAACACCTAATGATGTTTAGAAATCAACGATTCCTCGGCATCTAGAGCTGCAGGAGATTCTTGTTGGCCTTAGAAAGGGCAGAATCTTCATTCTTCAAAGAAGAAACCCCATAGTCTAATTCTGGAAGCATGGAACAGTAAATCATTATAGAGAGGTTAAGGGCCGATTGCATGAACGATGTTCATTTCAAACATTGATTATCGGTAGTCACGGTTTAAACATTGTCTACGAAGATATCGGGTAACCGCTGTCTACTTTCGATTGCGTGAACGATCACCAAGCCATGTTTTCATAGCCGATGGCTAAGCGCCCCTCATGGTATACATACCACGTTTTGACTTCTCGGCTGTCGCGTAGTACACTTCAGACTCCGCCACAAACGGGCGAATCGAGTGAAATAGGAGAACCATTCCTCCGATGATTAAGTACATCTCGCAGAGCTTGTTAAGGAGAATTTTGCAATAGAGAGAGACACGGTGCACTCTCCTTGCACAAGTATAATAATTCCTGGAAACTGGTGAGTTCTCCACTGACCCTACTCTGCATTTCGCTACATCAGGGGTAACACCAAGGGTACAACTTGTCATGAACGTACTTACGTACTTAAGTACGGTCCGCGCAAGTTTAGTCGCGTCCGTATGCGGCCCCAGGCTCAAAAAGTTTGAGTACCACTGGTCTAAACCACGGATGCACAACTTCCGGCCCGAGGGACGGATACGGTTCGCGGAAGGATTTCATCCGGCCTACAGCCAGATGAAATCCTTCCGCTGACTCTACCTGAGCATTGAAGCTTGACCTGCGTCCCCCGATGTCCGGCCCGCGGTGAGTACATCGCAGTGACCATCTGATCCTTTGACGGGAAAGGTTGTGCATCCCTGGTCTAAACCCTGTTATGAAATACAGCCTCGTGCACTGTCTCCAATCAGGAATTGGCAAGGTTGCATGCTCGGAGAGGCCCACCCCATCAGTGTGTAAAAGTCGTTTCACACTTAGGGTGTCATGCGTCCTTTGTTGTTGGGGTAGGCAGGCAGACGCACGCGTGCACACGCATGTCCACTTCCATTCAAGGGTTTTCATAAAAAGCAAGGCTGACGTGTGGAATTGGGATGAGCTTAATTGATAATGCAAGCATGCAATTGAAAACCCTTGAATGTAAGTGTGCACGCGTGTGGACACGCGTGTGCACGCATGCGTCTCCCACTTGCCCAAGCATTGACGCAAACGGCGCATGACAGGCAATGTGTGAAACGCCCTTGACGCTATCTGTTCCAGTCCTAATCAGCTGCACTGGGTAGTGTCATGAGACTCTCATATCGCATCATCTTGGTGTGGCTAGGACTCTTCCTCTCACGCCATCCCTTCTTCCGTCCTTCAGTCTCGTGATCTGCCCTTAGTGCGACGTCCTGCAAGTTGACCTTCCATCTGCTGTCCTGAAAAGCTGATAGTGTGTGTCCTCCCACCAAGTTGGAAGAGACTCATTTCTGTACTCGGAAGTCATAGAGAGCTGATCTTGGCCCGACCAGCCTTCATTTTGGAATCAGACAGGTGGACAGCACCTCCCGTCGTGTACGTGGCCTTTCTCTACCATCTTTCAACTCCTGTGAAATTGTCCCACCTCACATTTTAATATACTGTATATAAAAGGCAGTTGTCTGGCTCGGCCCCGACGAATGCAACCCTTTGATGCTATTTGGGAATATTCAATTTACGTCCTGGATGAACGTTCGGGGAACGCATAATTTGAACTGTTTTTGATCGCTCTGAATTCCGGACCTTTAAACAGTCAAGGACATTTCCTCTGGGAACGAAGAGCGTGTTTATACTCAATGACAATCGTCGCAATAAAAGACAACAAGAGGAATGCTACGGGAATGCACGTGACATTTGGAAGACATATTCCTTGTGTAACGTGAACAAATCTCTCCATAACTATGTATTATAATTCCTAACATTGCTTGAGCATGTGGACTTCTTTCTACTCGGACTTTTTGTTATCCACTATTAAAATCCAAATTATACTTTGGTACACCCTGTATACGAAAAAAAAAAACAGAACGATAACTTTTGCCTCTCCTTCGAAAAATGTATTATTTGTAGATACATCTGCTCTGTGGTAGTATAGGAACGAAGGGAAATAGAACTGGAGCAAGGCCTCGTTGAGTTTTCAACGTTCCTGAGATTTTAAAATACTAAACCTATTTAGTTCGCATATTTCTAAGAGGAAAGTATGATTTTCATGAGCAAAGAAGTATGTTTTTATTGTGCAGAGAATCATCTATTGAGCTTAGGAATTCAAAAAATTGCCTGGTGGTATGTCCCTGGAGTAATCTTGGCCATATCCTCTGACTGCAAAACATTTCTTAACACTAGAAGTACCGAGGGTACGTACAGTATACAGTATACCTAGAAGTACCGGAGGGGTCATTTTGACAGCTATATCAAAAAACGCAACGAAGTATTATTCTATTAGATTTGATTTTTTTGGTTTTTTTTTTNCCCTGGCCGGAGAAAAGAGTTCATCCGGTTCCCGGACGCTGTCGCAGTGCCAGCCGTCATGGTCGCATTTTATAGCCTGGCGGGGTTTCCAGGAGTTCTCGGATGCGTGGACGGGACACACGTCATCATAACCGCTCCCTGGATGAGCGGGGCTATTTACGTACCGCGCAAAGGGTTCTACTCGGTGGCGCCTCGTGGACGAAAAGTCTGGGGAGGCCGGCTCATGATCTTTATAATGAACAACAATTAATTGTAGTATTAACGGGAGAATGAAGCACGAAAGGTGTGCTTAGGGCAGTTGCTGAGCGAGGAACCGTTTCATGTTTCCAGTTCATATTGTATCGAAATCGCGCAGATGCGGGGTCCGTCTAACACTCGAGTGAAAGAAGAGGCGACATGCCGACATTTTCACTTCAATTGTCTAAGAGAAGAGTGAGTCGAGTGAGTCACAAGGACGTATTGCGACGCGGACGCGCGAGCCATGCGCTTCGTCAGAGATGGACCTCAGCGACCCGGAGGGGCGTGGCATTTTTTCACAAAACTTTTGTCAAAAGTGACCGAGAAACGTACGTTCGCTTTCAGACCGCTGTAGTCATGATGATGTGGAAATCGATCAGCGGACGGGTCATCTTATTGTTCATCTTTGGATTTGAGTGAGTAGAAGTCTCGAATGCAGAGTATTCTGCGATAGGTCTTCACATCCGATTTCCTTTTGTTTGCATTCCAATGTGCGAGTTCCGTGGAGTGGTGTAGTTTGT